ACAGACGGACAGGTGCGCTCAGAGACAGACAGACAGACAGACAGGTGCGCTCAGAGACAGACAGACAGACAGACAGACAGGTGCGCTCAGAGACAGACAGACAGACAGACAGACAGACAGACAGGTGCACTCAGAGACAGACAGACAGGTGCACTCAGAGACAGACAGACAGGTGCGCTCAGAGACAGACAGGTGTGCTGAATGAGCTGTTCTGCAGACGCCAGTGTTAGGGAGCTGCAGTACTCAGTGTTCTGCTGGATAAAGTGTGTGTCGCTATAGAGACGGCGGCAGACAGCAGTGATCCTCACACTCAGATGCGGCACATTAGATATGGTATGACTGGAGAATGGCCAGATCCAGAGATATGAGCAGTGCTGGGCGGAACGCGAGCTACTGAGTAACGGCTCTTCTCTAGGTAACGAGCAGAGTAACACACCACTGTTATTAACACGTGATGATGTTCAGTTACCTTCAGTTTAATCTTTACACGTGCTGAATTAAAGAGTTCACAATGACTCTCAGTCTGAACACACACAGAACAGGAGAAGAGGAATACACTGAACACAGCGAGTGTGCTCAACATATAGCACTGCATTAGCCAACACACACACACACACACACACACACACACACACCACTTTAACCCGTCAGTAATCTGCAGACGGCAGGTGTTGCCGTGTTGTGTTGATCTGTTTCCGTCACTCAGACTTCTCGTCTACATGTTCTCCTACAGCGATCTCTCCGCTTTATTGATTAGTTTTCAGAGGTTTGATGTGCTCCATGATCAGCGCTGCTGCTGGACACATTTATACAGATGTAATAATATTATTTTCTGTTATTGTTATTAAATATAATCTGATTATTAAAATCATATCTGATATAAAATAATAATCAATTACATTAACAATTGTGTTTGACTCTGACCATGCGAAATATGCCCGAAAGCAGCATTAAATATAGCTTATAGTGTTGTTAATGATTCTGGGTAAAGTTGGTTTAATATTCTCACATTCAGACTTTCCTCTTAATAATATAAAGTATTATTAGCAAACTCTACATAGCGGAATCATATTAGCAGCCAAAGACTATCACAGTACGACACTGCTCACAGCCAGATAATCAGTGCTGCTGTTGTTTAGGAGTCATGCATGATAATACTGGCCGAATATTGAAAGTAACACGCAGAGCAATACAGAGAGAGCTGAATGAACACGAGTGAGCGAAGATGAAGCCGCTCCACCTCTACATGCGCCATCACTGCACTGCACTGGGGCTGAGCCTGGGTCAGGGTGAAACCACAGCCTCACACCACACTGCTCCACACTCACTGACAGAGAAATCTGCAGCAGACTGAGCTGCTGACACCGACCGGGAGACAGGACACACCGACAGAACACCCGCAGACTTCCTGGAGCCCTAAGCGGCCGCTTTCCGTTTAAATCCGCTACTCTGTGTGTGTGTGTGTGTGTGTGTGTGTGTGTGTGTGTGTGTGTGTGTGTGTGTGTGTGTGTGTGTGTGTGTGTGTACCTGGTGTCTCCAGCGGAACAGACTCGGTGTGTCGATGTTCGGGTGTGTGTCGTCCTCATCGTCGGACACCTCGATATGATCCCACACACTGTAGTCGATGGTCGTCATGGTCGGTTGTGGCGTGAGTCGCTCGGTTGTGTTTCCGCTGTAATGCGGTGTGTGTCGCTCGGTTGTGTTTCCGCTGTAATGCGGTGTGTGTCGGTATTATTGCTGTGATTATTCGGATTGTTGTCGCAGGAGTTCAGTGTGTGTTTGTGCCGCCGCTCTTTCTGGAATTCTCCTTCACTTCCGGCCGGGTGTCGTCATCACTGCGCGCCATTTGCATCAGCGAGAGGAAGCTGTCGCGCGTGTTTAGTGTTGTTCCGTAGGAACATTTGTTTTATTTATGCAAATTTTCAAAAGTTATGGGATGACATTACTGTTTGGTTAAGATTAAAATATGTAATACCTGATTTTGATTTTAAAACTGTAAAAAAATTATCTTTTTGTCAGAATTCTGAGCTGGAATTTTTGGTTAACAATATTGTGACTCTGGCAAACTATTTCATTCATAAATGCGGATTTTTTAATACCCCCCACACACACTTTTCTGCTTTTCCACAAGGATTTAATGGTCTTCTTCAATTCCTTAAAGCTGATGAGACATTAAAAAAAGCCCTTAAACTGTGTAGTCTGTTAAAGGCTTTTTTGATGATTAACCCCTTTGTATTAAAGTGCATTGTATTTTGCTTTTTATTTATTTAAATTTTATTATTTTTTATATATATTAATTTGTTTTGTTTTTTCCTCAGTTTTTTTTTTGTGTGAATGCTGCTATTTGGACTTTCTAGATGAATAAGATGTTTCTTTGTTCGGTCATTTGTTCTTTTTTCTGTATGTTCTTATAAAATCTAATTTAAAAAAAAATGTTGTTCCCTAGATATATACATGTGTTGTTCAGTCAGAGACAGAGGAGCGGCTCATCTGTGTATATGCATACCCAGGTGAAAAAAAAAATATAATTTAATGCAACTAAAGTACACTTAAATACCCGCAAATACATTCTTAGTTCATTGTTATGTTTTTGTGTTGAATAAAAGTTTGATGGTTTTACACTATAAATATACTGATTAAAAGTGTGTTTATACTTCAGTAGGACTTTAGTACACTTGACAAAAGTATACCAAATACCAGTAATACTTAAATAAATGTTTAGTGTACTACAATAAAGTACACTACAGAGAAAACATCCAGAAGAGTTTTATTAATGTAACCTGAGGAGTGACACAAACAACAGAGATAGGTTCCACATACAGGTTTAATCAGTGGTCCGGCAAGCAATAGTCAATACAGGTGCAAACAGACATACATACACCTGTGCTGAACTACACCTGATGATGAAACACACCTGTGCTGAACTACACCTGATGATGAACTACACCTGTGCTGAACTACACCTGATGATGAACTACACCTGATGATGAACTACACCTGATGATGAACTACACCTGATGATGAACTACACCTGATGATGAACTACACCTGTGCTGAACTACACCTGATGATGAACTACACCTGTGCTGAACTACACCTGATGATGAACTACACCTGATGATGAACTACACCTGATGATGAACTACACCTGTGCTGAACTACACCTGATGATGAAACACACCTGTGCTGAACTACACCTGATGATGAAACACACCTGTGCTGAACTACACCTGATGATGAAACACACCTGTGCTGAACTACACCTGATGATGAACTACACCTGTGCTGAACTACACCTGATGATGAAGTATTACTGGTATTTAGTATACTTTTGTCAAGTCCTACTGAAGTATAAACATAATTTTAATTAGTATATTTATAGTGTAAAACCATCAAACTTTTATTCAACACAAAAACTTAATGTACTAAAAATGTATTTGCTGGTATTTAAGTGTATTTTAATTGCATTTAATTATATATTTTTTTCACCTGGGATCCCTTCAAAATATATCCTTTAAATAAATGTTTATTATGTTAAAAGCACATTTTAGATCAGCTTCATTTTGTCTCATAATAGCACAGTTGAGTGCACTCAGATGTACTTAAGTTTATCTTAAAATGTACTTACTACTAATTTTTAGTACATTAAATACAAAATTAGTTTGGGACAATAGAGCACGTTTAATACAGTATTTAGCACACTTTTTTACAATTTGTATATTCATTTAATATTTTACTATTATACTTTAAATTAGTCATAAATATTTTTAAATGTTTAAAATTAGGGTTCAAGTGTATTTCTAGTTGTAACTAAACATTTTTTTAAATACAGATATAGTATGTTAAAAGCACATTTTAGTTTAATTTCAGTGTCTCAATAGCACAGTTGAGTGCACTTAGATGGCATTAAGTTTATCTCAACATTTACTTAATACTATCTTTTACTACATTAAGTACAAAATTAGTGTGTGAAAATAAGCACTTTTAGTACATCACTGAAGAGTGTACTAAGTATACTTAAATAAACTGCATTTTAGTGCACTTTTTTTCACCTGGGTATTAAACAATGACAGAACAGCAGCGCCAAAAGGGGAATGGGGAAATATAACACACACACACACACACACACACACACGCTGAGCTGGATGTGTGAGCTGCTCTGACACTCTCTGGTGAAGCCTGAAGGCTTCTGTAGATGAGCAAACCTGCAGAGTTCAGCTCCACACTGACCAAACACACCTGTCTGGAGCTCTCTGCTCACCTGATGACACTGAGCAGCATCTTCAGGTGTGTGTGTGTGTGTGTGTAAAGGTTTGAGCTACTCAGTTTGCCCACTCCTGCACTGTACTACAGGTGGCGCTAATGCACCTTACAACCGCCATAACCCTGATAGAAGAAGGAGATCAGTCAATGATGAGCACAGGAGGAGGAAGATGAAGAGGAGAAAATGAAGAAGAGGAGGAGGAAAAGATGAAGAAGAGGAGAAGATGAGGAGGAGGAAGAAGAGGAGGAAAAAAAAGTTCCCGTAGAAAGCCTCATCAGTGCTGCTATTGGTCAGTGTCGACTCATCCATCAGTGAGGTCATTGGTGTGTGTGTGTGTACAGATGGTTTCCCTCACTCTTAGACACGTCTCTGTAGGCCAGCAGCAGCGCTTCACTGTGGCTTCACTCCCCTGTCTACTATTACCTGCGTCTGTCTTCAGGATCTCACCTGATGAGTTAGATGATGATCATACACGCACACACACACACACACACACTACCTCTAATCCTCGTGTGTAAGGGTAAACCCAACAGAATCTGTGAGCAGGCTTTAGGAGGAGCAGCAGCTGCTGTAGGACGGCTGATCTGCAGAGCTCTGATGATGACCACAGTCTGATGACACTGTTACTCCACAGTCAGCAGGTAAACATCACCTCCTCCTCCTCCTCCATCATCACTAATAACCGTGCAGAGATCTTCCCCATCCGCAGAGCGACTGTGCAGACGCAGGAGTGTGT